AAAAAAAAAAAAAAAAAAAAAAAAAGCCATTTTAATTTTCAGTGTTTGGTCCCAAAAATGAATACAATTTACAGGTAGAAAAATTCATGGTTTTAACTTACTTTTAATAATTCTGATCTCATCCTCAGTCAGAATCTTCTGGATTGTCTCTGTAAAACTCTTGTGCTCCACCACACAAGCATACTGATCCATCCTCCATTCATCTGGAAGGACATAGAGGGTAACATTCTTCTGGAAGGTCCCGTCTCCATTTGGTAGTATCTTTCCTGGCTTCACCAATTTTCTAGAATCATTTATAGCTTGTCCATTCTCCCTCCACGTAATGGTTGTGTTTCTGGAGTGAAACCCTGTGACGTGACACTCCACATAATAGTCTGGGTTCCTCTGCAACAGAGACACCTCAGGAGGCTCTAAAATAAATACAGAACAGGGAACAAACACATGCACAGTTTAACCTCTCTAATGTCGGCATGCATAGATTTATCAAACTGTCTGATAAAACATGATTTATCAAAGACCTGCATATGCAAGATTTAATAATAACTTTAACTTTTTAACTTTTAATATAACTTTTTGTCCCATTAACTTTACTATATACCTGTTTTCTCAAAAGCAGCTTTAGACAAGTTTAAAAACTCCTTCATCCAGTAAATGCACTCATGTTTGAAGTACAGTAGTAATAATGCAAGTTGTTCTCTGTTATTCCATTTTTGCACTGTGGTTTGTGCCTGCGGTACAGATGCAGTGTAGCTGCTGTTCTTCATGTCTAGTGTGAGAAAATCCTCTCCATCATAACCATACTGATCAAACCCATATTTGATGTCCGTCTCATCATCCCAACCACATCCATACATCCTCTGATACGTATGAACACCTGAATGAGAGAGGAGAGCAAAGGATGCTCTACTGTACTTACTGTACTTTGGAATGTAATATTTTAAGTATTTATGTAAAAAAAATTTACTCACCACGTGTCTGATTGAATCGCTGCATTAGAACAGCAATATTGGTCTTGTAGATCTGCGCCACATGTTCTCTGATCGCAGAGTCTTTTTTCCACATTCCATCAGATGCAAACTCCTTCATCCAGACCTGTTTGGGAATCAGCTTCTTTATCTCACTGTCATAATAATCCATCTGCTGTCCATCCAGTGTAGTTACAGCAGAAAACTCTGGAGTTCCTGCAATCGCCTTTCCACTGATTCCAGTGTAAGTAGTGATGAATGTGTGCAACTCTGAAAAACATGAAACAATTTGACATCAACTAAAACAAATTATTCTTGCTTTCTTTTTTTATCAATACTTTTGAGTGAGTGAGTGACGTGACATGTGGCCAAGTATGGTGACCCATTCTAGGAATTAGTGCTCTGCGTTTAACCCATCCTTAGTGCACACACACAGCAGTGAACACACACACACAGTGAACACACACCTGGAGCAGTGGGCAGCCATTTTTTGCTGCGGCGCCCGGGGAGCAGTTGGGGGTTTGGTGCCTTGCTCAAGGGCACCTCAGTCGTGGTATTGAAGGTGGGAGAGAGCGCTGTACATTCACTCCCCCCACCTACAATCCCTGCCGGTACGAGACTCAAACCCGCAACCTTTGGGTTACGAGTCCGACTCTCTAACCATTAGGCACGACTTTTGCGCAGATAACCATTGTTCACAGAAGCATAGTATTTGTTTATGTGGAACTATACTTCGAAAATACTGAAAGTATTTAATTGTTGCACATTTCGTTAGAACTTTTCATCCTACAATGGAAAAAGCACGCACTAAATCTGTTAAATACTTCTATTAGCCTGGAGATTATAAAAGATGTTTGAGAAAATATTACATACAGTATCAGATTTGAAGCGTGGTGTGATTTTCTGTCAGCTCTACACACGGAAGTATCTGAAGGCCTTGATTGACAGAATTCAACATTCAACTGATGTTACAAAATTAATCTTACCCGAGTAAACTAAATGAGGAAAAGGCATGTAGATGAAGAAAATGATTAAGTTCATTACGGACGAAAATCCATGAATTTGATCCACAAGTCTTTAAGTGTAGTTGCCGTACTGTAAAAACTCCTTAGTCTTCGCCACACCCGAATCGACAGGAAAAAACAGGTTACTGAGCGCAGCCGCAGGACGTGTCTTTGCAGCTCTGGATAAGCAGTCTCAGTACGGAAGTTTAGGGCGGAAGCTTTTACTCCCGTGCTGATGTAACTTGCTTGGTAACCTATTTTTCCTTTAGATTCGGGTGTGGCGAAGACCAAGCAGTTTTTACAGTTTTCTACAGCAATTACACTTACAGAAATTGTGGATCAAATTCATGGGTTTTCGTCCGTAATGAACTTCATCATTTTCTTCATCTACATGCCTTTTGTTTGCTCAGGTGAGATATGTTTTTTAACGTTGTTTGAACGATGAATTCTTTGTCAAGGCCTTCAGATACTTCCGTATGTTGAACTGTCAGAAAAATCAATCTGGCTAACGTAATAGATTTAATATAGTTGCTAGGGTAAAGATCAGAACTGGGTTCACAGTTGGAAGAATATGTTTGAATGAGTGGAAAAAGTAGAAGTTGTAGAACTCTGGAAACTATAGTGGAAGAAAAACGGGCTTTTCCAAAAGGAAAAAAAAAAATCTGCAGTACAAATCATATCTCAGATTCAAGCAATATTCATTTGGCTAGTGGTATTTTATAGTAATTTGATTTATGATACTGTATGTGGTGTGGATTGTTTGTTTCATATTTTTCCAGCGTTGCACACATTCATCACTACTTACACTGGAATCAGTGGAAAGACGATTGCAGGGATCCCAGAGTTTTTTGCTGTAACTACACTGGATGGACAACAGATTGATTATTATGACAGTGAAACAGAGTCACTGGTTCCCAGACAGGAATGGATGAAGGAATATGCATCTAAAGAGCTGTGGAAAGAAGACACTGAGATCAGAGAACAAGTACAGCAGACCTACAAGAACAACATTGCTGTTCTAATGCAGCGATTCAATCAGACAGGTGGTGAGTTAAAATACTTTATACTACAGTTTTAAACATTTAAGGAATACATCAAAAGAGCCCCCCCCCCCATTCTTTCATTCAGGTGTTCATGTGTATCAGAGGATGTATGGATGTTGGTGGGATGATGAGACTGGAGAATCACATGGGTTTGATCAGTATGGATATGATGGAGAAGACTATGTCACATTAGACGTGAAGGAGGGCAGATACACTGCAGCTACACCACAGGCAATGGAATCAACAGCCAAGTGGAACAATGACAGCTCACAGCTTGAATTTCTACAACAGCACTATGAATATGAGTGTGTTTACTGGCTGAGATTTTTCATAAATTCAAGGAAAGCTCATTTAGAGAGCAAAGGTAGCTTGTCTTTGAGAATTTCCCTTTGTTCATCTATAGGTCATTGGTGTTTCTTTTTATTTTAATGTGGATTGCTTCATTAAAACAACAAATGTAGCTTAATATTGTGGATATATATAACTGTTTAGAAAATATTAAACCTTTTTCTCACATTTATCTTTTTTTTAGCTCCTGAAGTGTCTCTGTTACAGAGTTCCTCCTCTCCAGTGGTTCAGTGTCATGCCACAGGTTTCTACCCATCAGCAGTGACTATCACCTGGTTAAGAAATGGACAGCAGCATGATGAGGATGTGGAGCTTGGAGAGACACTAATAAATGAGGATGGGACCTTCCAGAGGACATCTACCCTCAATATTCATCCAGACGACTGGAAGAAGCACCAGTATGTTTGTGTGGTGGAGCACGAGGGAAAGACCATCCAGAATGTTCTGACTGAGGACGAGATAAAAAATAACAAAAGTAAGTTGATAATAGTGTGGTATAGTGTTTTATGCTTATGTTTTTATACTTACTACGAAGTATATCCTATCCTTAACATGTTTGGCTAATAGGATCTTAACGCCACAAATGAAGATTTAAATTTTTTTAATCAAAATCACACATCAGCCAAAAATGATCATTCTTTTACTATTTACTTACCTTCATTGAACGTCGTTCCAAACCCGTATAAGTTTCAGAAGATTTTTGGAGTCAGTCTGAGATCAAACTATTACAATGGTTAATTAGGACAAGTTTTTGTTGTTTTTAAATATTCTGTTTAGGTTTAATGTCTTTGTAGTTTTAGTTTTTATTTCAAGTTAGTAATTTTAATACTTATTTCAGTTAGAGGCCAAAAAAAAAACAACAACAATATTTTATTTTAGCTTTATTGCAATTTCAATTTTATGAAGTTTTAGTTAATGATGATAACTAATAACTTGTTTTTTTAAAATACTGATTATTATTTATTTCATAAGTTATTTGTTTTAGCCCTATCTTGCTGTTTCTGTATTATTGTGTCTTTTTTATAGTATAATTTTTTATACCTTTTTTAAGGACCTACAGTAGAATTCTTCACAACATTTGTGTGTGTGATGGGAGTTACCATAGTCCTGGTTATTTGTACTTTATTTGTACAAAGCCGAATGAAGCGAGTAAGTATGTTTACCTGTATTTTTGTCTGAATGTTCTTATTTCTCATCATGTGTTCATCAGCTGTAGGATGATGGGAATGTCCTTCATCAATGACACAAGCATTCAAAAGTTTGGATTTAAACACATTTTAATGTATTTGATAGAAATACCAGTAGGGTGGAATTAAATAGAGCCAATGCTTCACTAATTTTGAAAATCACTATTACGGCTGGAAATACTGCTGTGTGTGTGCGCTTGGATGGGTGAAATGCAGAGCACAAATTCTGAGTATGGGACACCACACCTGGCCACACGTCACATAACTTTCACTTTAAAATGACTTTTGAATGCTAGTGTGAACTTACTCCAATTCCAATGTCAAATTTCAAAAATTTGGGATTTGGATTAGTCACATGCTGCTTAAGTGGTCATAAAATAGTGTTTGAAAAAATTGAAAATTGAAAAAAAATATGCTAATTTAATCTTTATGACATTACTTTTCAGAAACTGTGTGAGCAGGCAGTCTGTCAAAATGAAAAGCTGACCTATAGTGACAAACGTCTCTGAAGAGTTTCCTCCAATTGTCTGCACTTTTCCCAGATTTCAGTATAACTGGGTATCTTCAGAATGTGGGAGAACAGAACATTTTTAGCATGCACCTTTGACAAAAACATGTCATGGACCTGTTTTTTTATGAAGGGACATCAGTGGCAGTTTTAGTTAACTTGGTGCCCTAGACAAAATACATAACCAAAAGAAGAAAGGAAGAAGAAAACACTTTCTTACATTGTGTGATGTCTATCCAAATACGCTGGAGACACATCGATGTGAAGGTGCAAATGCAAACCAACTGAAGAATATCCAGATACTGTCTCTATGTGAAAAGTATGTTAATAGAGACTTTAATGGGCATCTTAAATTTTTAATGTGTGCCGACATCTTTCACCACCTACATTTGTAAATATTTTACGCATTTAATATGTAAATATTAGTGCTGTCAGTTGATTTAAAAATTTGAACTAATTAATTGCACATTTTTCTGAAATTAATCACGATTAATCATGATTTATCGCACCTAACATTAAAGTTTTTAAATATACATTTATATTGCAATAATTTCACATTCAGTCTTCAAATTAATGTATAAACAACATAAAGACAGTATATTTTTACTATTTGTTTAATGGCATCTTTTGTAATAAAAGCGAGTATCACTAATACTACTGATGTCTCTATGAAATAGTTTTTTCCCCCTAATATTGAATCATTCAACATTACAGTATAATTGAGAGCTATCAATTTGAACATTTATTAGACAAAAAAAACCCTTCTAATTTAAGTGAACTTAAAACAATCTTCACATAAACCCATTATAATAAATGTCATATTTAGCTACATGTGCCCTTCAGCAAGTAGGAAATATACAGCAATTGAATAAAGATATCAAACACTAAATATATAGATGAATATTGATGAATCCTTAAAGCTAAAAAAGTTATTGATTTCCTCTTTTTTTCTTTTGTTCTTTGATGAGCAGACATCACAGCAGCTGGTTATGAGGTTGTTTTGGCTGCTTTAAGAGCTGCTGCTGCTGAACATGATACGGATCTGACACACATCATAGTTTCTCATCTTTATCTTTCTTTTCTGAGCCACTTCAGCTCTTAAAGTCTCTATAACGAGCTGAGGAGTTGAATCGGGTGTGTTAGATGAGGGAGACAGTGCTG